TATATATATATATATATATATATATATATATATATATATATATATATATATATATATATATATATAAATTTGGCGAAGATGAGTGTGAGTGACCAGAACAGCTTGGGTGGGTATTGGACTGGACCGTTCAATTGGGGACAGCTTGGGTGTGTACGTACTGTACTAGACTATTCGATTACAGACAGCTCGGTTGTGTACGTACTGTACTAGACTATTCAATTAGGGATAGCTTTAGTGGGTATGTACTGTACTAGACTATCCAATTAGGGACAGCTTGGGTGGGTACGTACTGTACTAGACTATTCAATTAGAAATAGCTTGGGTGTGTACGTACTGTACGAGACTATTCAATTAAGGACAGCTTGGGTGTGTACGTACTGTACTAGACTATTCAATTAAGGATAGCTTGGGTGTGTACATACGGTACGAGACTATTCAATTAGGGACTGCTTGGGTGTGTACGTACTGTACTGGACTATTCAATTAGGGATAGCTTGGGTGTGTACATACTGTACGAGACTATTCAATTAGGGACAGCTTGGGTGTGTACGTACTGTACGAGACTATTCAATTAACGGACGTGAGCGCAAGAGCAAATGAGTGTAGTTTGTGCAATGGTGCAGTACTGATGCTAGGCCGGTTGTAGGATTTAGGGTTACACAGTGACGATTCACGTGGTCGTGTTCCGCATCACCGGCATATGATACTTCTGCGACGACCATTAGAGGGTTAGCGAGGAGTTGCTATGTTACAACTCTACATGTTAAGGGCTGAGGGGCACTGATTGCACACTACAGTAGTATTCACAGTCACACAGCACTAACACACTATACCACACACCTCCGGTGAGGCGTAGTGGGGCGTCCCACAGCTCTGGTCTAATAATTGGTCCGTGTTGGCCTGGAAGGCGGCCAGTCCAAAGTCGGCTATTTTAAGATTATAATTTTTATCTAGGAGTAGGTTCTCCGGTTTAAGGTCTCTGTGGCTGTGTCGGTTAAGGCAACGAATGAGTAGAGGCTTGTAGGTATGTAGGTAGACACAGTCCCGTGAGGTATAACTTTAAAGACGTTGTAGGTAGACACAGTCGGTGAGGTATAGCTATGAAGATGTTGTAGGTAGACACAGCCCCGTGAGGTAACTATGAAGACGTTGTAGGTAGACACAGTCCCGTGAGGTATAACTATGAAGATGTTGTAGGTAGACACAGTCCCGTGAGGCATACCTATGAAGATGTTGCACATAGACACAGTCCCGTGAGGTATAACTATAAAGACGTTGTAGGTAGACACAGTCCCGTGAGGTATAACTATGAAGATGTTGTAGGTAGACACAGTCTCGTGAGGTATAACTATAAAGACGTTGTAGGTAGACAGTCGGTGAGGTATAGCTATGAAGATGTTGTAGGTAGACACAGCCCCGTGAGGTATAACTATGAAGACGTTGTAGGTAGACACAGTCCCGTGAGGTATAACTATGAAGATGTTGTAGGTAGACAGTCCCGTGAGGTATAAGTATAAAGATGTTGTAGGTAGACACAGTCCCGTGAGGTATAACTATGAAGATGTTGTAGGTAGACACAGTCCCGTGAGGTATAACTATAAAGATGTTGTAGGTAGACACAGTCCCGTGAGGTATAACTGTGAAGATGTGGAAAGTAAACAGACGGTTCAAACCTCTCTTGACGTAGCGATGTTATAAAGGTGCCCCTGATATGGGTCAGCTGTGTATGTCATGATGTGCTGTCAGCGATGCCCATGATATCTATGATAATATCTACATATATCTACAGAGTACAGAGTGTGCCGATTGTCTTTGAACACAGGACCAAATAAATTGATGGCCACGCAACACACATTATAATCAGATCACGCTCGCCCCGTCCTTCCCTCACCAAACAACAGGCAATACCTAAAATTAAAATATTCGTTCCAATATTTGCCCCTAAATTTCCAGTATTAGCTACAATATATATATACCTAAAACTCCAATATCTCCAGTATTAGCTACAATATATATACCTAAAACTCCAATATCAGTTCCAATGTATGTACCTAAAATTCTTATATAATTCATATTTGTTTGTATCATAGTGCAACCGCACGAGGCTTTACAATACCACAAACGGTGCAGAAATCCATACCAACATTCATACAAACGACCATACCATATATGGTGTAGGTGGCAGAATTCAACTGCGCATATTAACTGTTGGAAGAACTTCAAAGCTTCTTCTTCGGACAAACGGCCTCTCACGGCCAGGTACTCGAACAGTTCGCCGCCCGGCACGTACTCCATCACCAGGAATCTATTTATAGAACCAGGACGGAAGGACAAAGTTGGCAACTCGATATATACCGTGTAGTCCACGCTTACGCAGTCTGGCTGAATATAGTCTGATCTCTACCCATTTACACTACCCGAAACCCTATAGCACCTAACACCTGACCTGCCCTACTATTAAAGTAGTATGCTATCCAATAGGTGATAGTACGTGGGCGATCGAAGTAGATGTTAGTGCCCTGTTATACTCTATTTACTTGGTTCGACCAAACTATCGATACAGGATCTGGCGAAGGTGGCTGTTGCCCGACTGCCAGGAACAGTGGCTGGCTTCATTAAACAATGACGACCCAGTACGCACACAGTGTGTCATACAACGTTTGGCATCACCTCTTATAGTGATTCGTAGTATACGAATGCTTTGCAATACACCACAATGACTACGGTGCACTTTCTGATACGTTTACTCCTATCAAATGGCAAAAAAAAATCTGTTTGAGCAGTGTTTATTGAACAGAAGTATCTGCGAGTCACGTTCGGTATACACTAAAACAATGAAGGTCATGCATTGGAGGGAAGGTACCATCGCACACTGATGAATGCATTCACACTGATGAATCCATTCACACTGATG